CCGTGCGGGGGGGGGGGGCGGGGAAGGGAAGGAAGAAAAGTAGAGAGAAATAGATCAGAAGCACTGTAGAGGTTACAAGCAATTATATCCTTGTCTTGAGGACGTGACCTAAATCCTGGTCACACTGTGAGCACCTCTTTCTGCTGAGTGTGATTCTGGTGTACTCTGGTTAGGACAGGTGTTTCACACAAGGTGGTTCCAAATCACTTGTTTCCACCAGAGAAACATCTGGGGGAATCTGATTTAAATTGGATTCATTGATATGTGGCATGTCAGTCTCTAATGGGACATTTTGCCTATAGGAATTTCGAGGCTAATTTCAATCATAGTCCATTTTTGGCCTTGGCATTGATTCTAGGACTTAATCCTCCAGATGCGACTTGACTGAATTGAGAAGTCCCTGGGCTTTAAAGAAAGTCCCAGGATCAAATCCTACCCACATCACTTAACCAGCAGACTAACTGGGAAAATCCCTCAATGTCTCCAGGTATCTTTATGGGTCATCTTTAAAAAAGCAACACCACCCCCAAACGGAGTGAGACTGATGGGGGAGGTTTGTGGCAAATGGCAGCTCCTACCAGAGGGCATGGAGTCAGGAAAGACCCGGATGCCACTCAGGAAGGTGTGGCCTGGGCAGTGGGAGAGGGAAGCAGAGAGAACAGGGCCCCAGGGACTCACCCTCTGCCTCGGGGACTTGCTGCTGGGACTGTGTCTGTGACAGCTGCTTTTCTCTCTTCCTTTTCTTTTTCTTACCCTAAAACATAGCCAAAGGAAGAGGTAAGCAGGGAACAGAATAATACCTCATTGTAGTGGGTTAACTAATGGTCAACTTGTAAGGCCCAGCTGAACTCAGTCAGTGTGGTCTGGGTGTGCAGGATCCACCTGAGGACTGTTGCCAATAGCTGTAAAAAGAGAGCTGGAGGGGAAGACTGTGGCCTGTCGGTTTTCTAGAAGCTTGCTGCGGATAGTTTTCCTGATGCGAACTAGGCTGTGCTTGTCAGAGGAGCTCGTGGCCTCGCTGTCACTGGGAATGGCTGCTGTTTTCGTCAGGGGAGCTCTGATCTTCACCATGAGCGTCCCTTCCTGGCCCAGTGTGCATCCATCATCCTGGTGGCACACTTACTGGTGTAGGTTTTCTGGCTTCCCCCACTGGCCTTTGGGGCTTCCAGGTGCAGAATCCACATGGACAAGCATGAGACACTGCTGTGGGCTCTAGGTGACTGGCTGGACTTGTGAGGACACTGCCTTGGACGCTAAGCTTTTAGCTGGACTTGTGTGGGAAACTGCTGGGATCTAGGCCCTCAGCTGGATTCTTTGGGCCTCTAGTGTGTGGTTAATCTCTTGCACTCCTTTGTATTTGACTTTTTGGGTAATTATCATAAAACAATCCTATAAACTATATGTCCTGTATTTAATGTATTCCCTTGCCAAAACCCTGATTACAACACTCATATTAAAAAATACTAGGGTGGGGGTTTAGCTCAGTGGTTCTGGAGTCCGCCTCGCAAGGTCCCAAGTTTGATCCCCAGTACACCCCCCCCAAAAAAAACTAGCTTAATGATTAATAATCAATCTCTTATCAGTGGGCTGCAGATTGGGGGAGGTGCGGCACTGGCCTGCAGCTCTGAATTTCCCTACCGGAGGGTGCTACAGGGGGAGCCCCTTGAGGAGGCAGAAGCTTCCCTTCAGGGGGCTGGCAGCCCAGGCTTCTTGGAGGCCTCAGACTTCTCCCTCCTCCAGGCTGGTTTTCCCACTCTCTCCCTAGAGCAGTGCTTCTTGAACAAAAGTTGAAGGGTCCCAGGTCCTTCTGAAAGTCTCTTGCAGCTATGAATTTTCTTAGCAGTAAAAAAACAAACAAGAACAGACCTATGAAAAGCGGCTGCATATCAGCTGTGATTAGAGAGAACTCCCCACCCCTCCAGCTATTATAGTGCCCCTGCAGGAATGAAAGGTGGGGTCTGGCTCAAATGGGAAGGGCACTATCTTGTGGATTTTTTTTGGAGATAAAAATCTCACTATGTAGTTGAGGCTGGCTTTAAACCCACTATGTAGCCAAGCCAAGCCTAAAACTGGCAGCAATCCTCCTGCCTCAGCCTCCAAGTCCTGGGGTTACAGGTGTACACCACTATGCCTGAATCTATCTTGCAACCTTATGAAAATTAAAATGGCTTCTTATTTCTAGAGAAATATGGCTTTCTCTCTTAAGAGTCCTCTGCACGTGAAGTTGCTCCAGGGTCTGCATGTCCCCTGAGCAGTGCGACCACTCACATAGTTGTCCCGGGCAGACCAGGTTGGGTAGAGCTGGGAGTGAAGCTGCCGCTCCTTCCGGGCCAGCTCATAGTACTTGGCCTGCTCTTCTCGAGACAGGTTGTGCCACTGCGGGAGAGAGGGGCAGTGGTCAGCACAGGGGTCAGGGACCTACGCCGCCCAGGGAGGGGCCGAGGGTGCGCCTTACCTTTCTTCCCAGGATTTGGTTAATGGCCGCGCTTTCCTTCAGGGTGCACTCGGCCACCACCTTGGCCCTCATCTCCTTCATATACAACATGAAGGCATTCAGAGGCTTCTTCACGTGGGGCTTTTTCTCTTCCTCCTTTTTCACGGCGACTGGGGATTTCCTGGGAAGGCAGAGTGGGGGTCAGCACTAGAGCATCTTCCACACACAGCCCTCAATCCTGAATCACCTCGCCATCTCTGAAAATCTCCTGACAGAGGAAGAGGGTGGCAGGGAGAGCTGGCCAGGGACTTTTCTGAGATCTTCCTGGCACAGCGGGCAAAGGTAGGGGCCTCTCAGCTCTCTTTGGGGCGTCCATGGTCCTTCCCCTCTCCGGCCTGTGTTTTCATGGATCTATCAGGGTGCAGAGGGAGGCCACAGGCATCTCAGGTTCTGCAGCCCCTGCGCCTCACTGTGAAACTTTCCTCAACATGAGAGAAGTTGCACCAGGTCTCTCAAAGGGCGAGGAGGTCCTGAGGGGTCTCCCAGGTGACCCCGGGAGAGAAAAACAAAATGGCATTTGCTGCTCAGAGACCGGCCAGGCCTCCACCATCAGCCCTGGATGCTGCTTACTTACGCGCTCACCGCGGGGCTCAGGCTGGGGGCCGCCGGTTCCTGCTTGACGATGGGTGAGACGATGGCTGGGTGGGGGATCCCTGAGGTGGGCAGGCCAGGATGGGCAGGAGCCACCATGTGAGGGGAGAACCGGCTGGAGACCAGGCTGCATATGGGAGGAACAAATGACAGCAGAGGACACAGGCTGAGTGTGTCCCCAGCACAGGCCAGGGCTCCCTGCCAGTTTGGGGAGTGGAGGGCCACGGGTTGTCTGCTGGAGAATCAGGTTTGAGGAACACCTGAGGTCCCCTCTACCCCCAGTACACAGGACACCCCAACCTGGGGCCGGAAGCAGGCAGAATGGAAAATACAGAAGAAGGTGCAGAGGTCAGGGGGCCGCATAAGTGGGAGAAAACGGGGCTCACATATGGGGTGCATATGATCTCTCACTGGAGGGCCACGGTCAGATGGCAACCTTGAGACAGAGCCAACCCTGTCTCTTCTCACACTGAGCATGGGGGACCAACCTTCCCCCAGTCTCTGGCTTCAGTGCCACATACTCAAACGCATCTGCCAGCAAAGCCCGGCACATGGGAGGTGGCAGTGGGAGGGTAGGGAGCTCGGGCTCAGGTTCGTGTTGCAGATGGGCAAAGATCCTGTGCCTCCATTCCACTCAGGGAAAGAGCAGGGGCACGAGATGGGCCTAATCAGAGTGGGGTGGCCAGACAGGCAGCTCTGTGCCTTCTCACAGACTGATGGGACTCTCACGGACGGTGTCAGTCAGAAATGGCAGTCCCCAGCAGACAAACATGCTCTGGGCTGTCCCTTCATGCTCACAGCCCCAGCCAGACTCACCTGGACATCGAGGCGTTCATGGCCAGCGCCGGGTAAGGGTGCCGGAAGCCACCAGGAGGAATGGAGTACATGGGCTGCCCCTGCCTGTCCCAGGAGCAAGGAGGTCTGGTCAGGTATTGGGAATGATCAGGGCTGGGACAGGGAGGGGAATGGGGAGAAGGAGGAAAAACTGGAACAGGAAGTGAGAAGAGCAGGATAAGCTGCCCAGGGGTGGGAGCAGGGAGGCCCAAGTCCTAGGGTTCAGAAGACAGAGCTCAGCGAAGGGCAGAAAGGGGTAAGAAGGGCAGCAGTTTCCTTACTGTGGGACAAGCCAGCCGAGGGGATGGGGGATTTGTCCGACAGCTCCAGGAGAGAGTGGATAATACGGTGACAGCTCAGATGGGTGAGGAGGCCGGGGGATTCCTGCTTCCAGAGAGAGACATGTCAGATCCTTCCCTCTGTCCTGTAGCAAAGGGCAGCTTTCTCCCCTCCACCCCCAGGCCGTGCTGGAGTCTTGAAAGCTCTCTTCATCAGCCTTGCCCTCTACCCTCTGCCAACAGCTCTGCCAGCTGGTCAAGGACCTTCACAGAAGGCACAGTCCCCATCTCTGCAAGGTGCAGTAACTTCCAGCTGCCTATCCCAGGAATCGAAGTCTTGTAAGAAAGGGTCAGGAAATCCCCACAGAGTGCCAGGATATCCCGAGTCATCCATGAACCAGCTGTCTAGAAAACTGGCCTCCTTTGTGGAGAAATGAACTCTGGGTTTCTTATTTTGTTTTGTTTTTCAGAGCTGGTGATGGCTTTGGCACATGTTCTACCACTGAGCTACATACTCAGCCCTAAACTCTAGATTTCTCTTCCACATTGGTCCTGTTTATTATGTGCACTGTGTGTTGAGCACTATTTCTCCAGAGCAGGGCTCCAAAAGGCTTTGAGACACGGCAGTTCTGTGAAGTTGTTATGAAGACCTTAGCTCCCTGGGTTGGACAGGTCTGATGGGCCGTTGAAGATTTTTTTTAACAAGCTAGCCTGGCACAGGGGTGTACATGGGCAACTCCAGCATTCTGGGAGGCTGAGGCAAGAGGATCACAAGTTTGAGTCCAGCCTGGGCAACTTAGTGAGACCCTATCTCGAAATAAGTAAAAAAGGTCTTGGGGATGTAGCTCAGGGTGAAGGACCTGGGTTTGAGCTTCAGTACAAAAACCCAAAACAAACAAACGAACAAACACCCCAGCTTCTCTTCCCTGCTTAGAAACCTGGCTGGACTGATGACTCTATGTGAAAATATTCAGCCAAGGGACTGGGTTTTGGTGGAGGGAGGCACAGCTCACAGCTAGGCCAGACTTTGACAGAGCAGCCCCTGATGTTCACTCTGAAGCCAGGCCCAAGCTCATGTCATTTCATTCCCTTTAATCCTCACACTATCCCCATGGTGGGGAAGGTACAAGGTCATGGTCAGGAGACTCTGGAGGGCTGGAGGCATGATCTGAACTCAGAGCTGCCTTCTGCAAGTCCTGCTATGTCTCCCACAGAGAAAAGCCACCCCAGTCCACAAGCACCTGTGTGGTGGGTACTCACCTGTCTTTGGATCGATCTCCTGGGAGAGATGTGTGGGAGGGGATCCTGGGGAGAAGTGGTCGTTGCTGTAGGTGATGAGGGGCGTCAATGGGTGCATGTGATGCGGGTGCTGAACAACAGGAACTTTGTTCGACTGTAAGGCACAGGAAAGAAGGGACTAGGGCCAGTTGCCAAGGAGATGGGAGTAGAATCAGCTGTTCTTCACTGAGGGGAAGGAGTGCCAGGTATTTTCCATACAACATCCCACTCAGTCCTCCACACACCCCTGAAGAGAGGAAGCAGCCTGCGCAGCTGAGAAGGAAGCCATGGGGTCAGGGAGGGGTTCACCTCCCAGCACCCCGCAAACTGTACTGTGTGACCTCAGCGAACCAGAAAGGGCTCAGTGCACCCTGTGCAAATCAGCTTCACAGAAATGGCTCTCAGGCCTGGCTCTGAGTCCAGGAACTCAGCAGCGTGTGTGTGTGGGGGGCTTTGTCACCTTCAGAACCCTGAGCGCCAGTTACCTACCCACTTCCGGCTTCAGCTTCACAGAAATGGCTCTCAGGCCTGGCTCTGAGTCCAGGAACTCAGCAGCGTGTGTGTGGGGGGGGGCTTTGTCACCTTCAGAACCCTGAGCGCCAGTTACCTACCCACTTCCGGTTTTACAGACTAAGGGTACTTTCAGCTTTTCTCTAGGTACCACTTCCAACACTGCCGCCCACCACAAATCACTTACAACACCACCGAAAGTAAGCAATATCACTGTTTTATATAAGTGGAAGCAAAGAAGGAGCACTAGCATGTTGCGATACATCTTAGTTTCAGAGTTTAAAATGGAAAAAACCCCAGGCATCCTAGAATTGGCAAGCCCAATTAAAATTTTTTTTTTTTTTTTTGTACCAGGAATTGAACTCCAGGACCTTGCATTTGCAAGGCAGGCGGTGGAACCACCGAGCGAAATCCATGGCCCTAAACCCAGTTAATTTTTAAAATTACTTTCATCTGGTCTGATTCAACAATAAGGATCTTTTCTTACAAAAATAGCTACACTTTACAAACACAGCAATATGCACAACGGCTCGTCCTTTTTACAACTTGTGCAGAAGGTACTGTCATTATATATTTTTTCTTTTCTGAGACAGTCTCACTGTGTAGCCAGGCTGGCCTTGAACTTGTGGTGCTCCTCCTGCCTCAGCCTCCCACATGCTGGGATTACAGACACATGCCACCAGGCTCAGCTTGACTGTCCCCAGTTTAGATATGCGAAAATTGATCTCAGCGCACTAAGTAGCTGAACCTCAGCCTGAGGGTAGTGAATAGCAGAACTGGAATTCCTGTTGGTATATGGGGCTCTAAAAACCAGAGTTCTTTCCTTTATACTACCTGCCTCCCAAGATCCTGATCAAAACATAGCTGTCAGAGAGAAAGGTCAGATTAAAAGAAAATAATAAGGCAAGAAGAGATAGATTTGAAAAAGATTTGTAAGAGATGAGATTTAGAGGTGGTCCCTAGCAGTGAACCCCACACTGCTGTCTTGTTCGAATTTTCATTTCCTAGATTCCACAAGCCCGTCTTCCCTTCACATGGTGCCCATCTGGCGCTCGCTCACAATGCAAACCCTGACGGTAACGCACGTATCCTAGGCATCCCTGTGCTCTCGCTAAGCTGCGCTGGGAGGCAGCGGACCCACGCTATTCTTAACCACGAGCACTAGGTGGCGCCGGCACACGCTGGGCCCGGCAGGCATAATCTCGCTTCTCCTCCACCCCTCTCCCACCTCCCATCACCTCCGCGGGTGGCTCCCGCTCGCTGCACAATAAATCTTAACCTTCCCTTTGCACTGTTTTCATCTGTTCATTGCTGGTCGTTGACAATGTCTCTATGCATAAACACACAGCACAAATAAAGGTACAGAATGAATCCTAAGAGCCGATTTCCAGGAACCCAATGCAATGCAATTAAATGAAATGTTTTGTATTTCATTGGAACCAGCTTTGTATAAAGTTTGTCTAATATTATAAATGCAACAGGGTTATTACCAAAGTGAAAGTATGTGAAGAAAGAATTACATAGAATGACCATAATTTAAAGACAAACAAATATAAACTGCAATAAAAAGACTAGCTAATGGCTGGAGATGTAGCTCCGTGGTAGACAGCCTGCTTCGCCTGTCAACCCTGGGTTCAGTCCCTAGTACCGCAAACAAAACAGAGCCAAAACCCAATCCAAAAAACTAAATACAAGCACAGCAAAATGTAATCGGTAGTTATGTTTCAGGGAGAGCCAAATGCTTTTTGTTTCTTCTTTTTCTATCTTCCGATTTTACATTACTATTTAAAACGTACACCAAGAATAACACAGCTTTTCTAAGAAGGAACTATAAACATCATAAAGCATGTAGAAAACAGTTATACCATCTAACCCAGTCACTTCATTCAGATTTCTCATGCATTTTTAGTTTCCATGTATTTATATCACACACAGGCATCCAGAAGCAGGTGATAGTGTCACAAAATCCTGATGTCTCCTGTGCTGGTGAGTTTGACCTCTCAGAAGCTGTCAAACAGCAATGAGTGGGTGGCAGAGTTAAACACAAGTGGGAAATGTGAGTTATTTTGGAAATCCGGTATAGTCCCCTAAAGGATCCGTGAGCTATTACTATTCCCCACTAGGTGGCGTCTGTGTCCAGAGAATGGCGGGACAGGGAAGGCGGGAAGTAGATTCGGTATTCAAGATGCTAAGACTGGACTGCTACCTTGAGGGAACTGGAGGGACGGTTCTTTTAAGAGACCACTGTCCCAATAAAAGCCCCTACTCATACCAGCTGTGATGCTGCACACCTGTAATGCTAGTACTCAGAAGGCTGAGGCAGGAGGACTGCAAGCTCCAGGACAGCCTGGGCTACATAGAGAGTTCAAGGTAAGACTGCACCATATAGGGAGATCCTATTTCAAAAAAACCCAAATCAAACAAGAACAATGTTCCTGCTCTTTTCTTCAGCTGCCCTTAGGGCCAAGATGTTCACAGCATAAGCTCAGGCCAAGGATCAGGAATACAAACCCCCTGGGGGCAACACCAGTACAACCTGTATCAGTGAAGGCACAGGTGCCCAGGCCGGGCCAGATGTATGTACCCAAGGAAGAGCATCTCAGAGCCATCTCAGGCTTAAATCCTCTCCATAAGTCACAGGGCCCCAACACATTCTTACCCAGGTGCCTCTTGTCTCTTCCAGTCGTAGTTTCTACAACTGTCCAAGCTGTAGCACTTTGGCTCCCAAGGAGGCAACTGTGGGCCTCTCTCACTCTTTCATGACTTCCTGTTAAGCCCAGAATGGAGCAACTCCTCACAGCCTCCTGATTAGACACACCCCAAAAATTCTGGTGGCCCGCTCCAGCTGCTGCTCACAGGAGTTTTAGCGAGCCTCCCCAAAGACCCCAGACCCCTACCGCTCACCAGCTCCTCTTCTTCACCCCAGTATCAGAGATGGGAGGTGCAAGCGGCCAGCTTTGGGGAGCGGAGCCCCTTCCCCATCACGCGAGAAGCAGCATGGACGTGACGAGTTTCAGCGCAGCGCTAACTCTACCTGATGTCATGTGTTTAAGACATCTGTGTCATCCGCATGTAACTGCTCGAAGACAGGGAGACAGCCCTCTCTTTGGGGATCAGAACTGTTCTGGGGGATAACCCTAAGAACAGGTTTCGAGGGGAAAGGAAACTGGACTTGTTCCTAAGATACTCCCAGGCAGGGCAAGGGACCGGAAGCATCAGAGGCCAGGGTGGAGGACTCCCCACCCCCCACAGGCATGGTCTGAGAGGACATGCGGACCGGCTGCATTCCACGCTGCCCTGATCCTCCCATCTGGGACAGGTAATCAGCTTGGCCAAGAGTCACGCAGTCCGTTCTGCTGTGCCCCGTTTTGCTTGCGCTCTTAGCAGTATTTTCAACCTCAGGTTTGCTACAAGAATCTGCCCAAGCTACCTGTATTCTTCCTAAGGGTTATTTCAAGCGGGGCTTGAGGTAACCTCTAGTCGACTTAGCTGAGCTCAGGGAAAGCGAGGTGCACACTATCCTGCAAACCAATCCACAGGTCAAGTCTCCACTCCTGGGCCAAATTTTTCTCCAACACACTTCATGGTTTGTACAGTAGAGGTTAATTCCTTCCTAATGGTTTTAGAGTAAAGCAGGTCTATTATAGTGGTGCTTTCTTTATCCCATTTGTACCTCAACAGGACATGCTATGCCTGTACCCATTCTTGTAGACCACAAGTCTCCTTCACTGTGTAAGCTTCTATGACAGAGAACAATTTTGGGGGGATGGTGGGGGTCGGGTGTGGATCTGAGAATTGTAGCCAGGGCCTTAGCACTGAGCTACATCCCTAGTCCCTTTTATTGTTGTGCCCACTTCAGCAGCACATATATTTTGTATTGTGAGACAAGGTTTTACCAACTTGCCCAGGTTGAACTTTTTTTTTTTCCAGACAGGGTTTCACTATGTATCCCAGGTTGGCCTCAAACTCACGGCAATCCTCCTGCCTCAGCCTCCTAAGTGCTGGGGTCATGGGTGTGTGCCACCATGCTCGGTTTAAAGCTCTTAAACCAGTTCCCCAGATGTCTCCTTTGTATCCCTGTGTATGGGCTTATCTCTTTCTATTTTTTGCAGACAGAAAACAGGCCCAGAGGTGGAGGTGAAATATGTGACAAATGCTAAACTGCTGTGGGAACCTTCCGGGGCTCTGGTGACCTCGCTGTGCCGCTGAGCTAGCCATCCCTTCAGACAATACAGTCACAACAGCAAAAAGAACAAGGTCTTCTGCAGCCACCAAGTTCCCCCACTGCTCCAGGTCTGGTGCAGGCACTGGAGAATCTTGTCCATTTTTACAAAACGTGCATTCTCCTGGTACTGGCCATTTGTCAGGGAAAGGACAGTAGAGCAGACATTCAAATAAAGCATGAAGTAAACAGTGATAAAGGCTAAGGAGAAAGCTAAGAAGGCAGATGAGAGGAACACTGTATGAGCAAATGACTCAATCAACAACTGGAGGAAGTGGGGACACACATGTAGAATGGGGTGAAGAAAGGCTGGGGATGTAGCTCAGAGGCACTGCACCTACTTGGCAAGAGAAAAGTCCTGCATTTGATTCCTGATCACCACC